GTTGTAGTTTTAAGCCTGTGACATGTTGCATCAGACCAAGGCATTCTAGCAACCACCAAAGTGTAATAGCGGCAATACCTTGTTTATGTTGCAGTGGCCAGATTCACCTCAAATTAGCAAAATGTAAAGCAGCATGTGCACTTTACTATAGATTGGGGCTCTAAAATAAAAAAAAGAAAGGGGTGGAACATTATAGAAGAATTAATAATTATTATCTATGAAAATGAAGGAGGGTGTAGCTAGAGATGTCATGGAAACTGAGTGAAACTAGGAGATGCCTACACTAAGGCAAAAGGTCAATAATAGCCCCATCCCTACATCTTTGCTTTGTTCCTTGAAGAAAGCTACCTGCACTTGCGTGTTGTTCCTATAAAGTTGTGTAGATATATATCAAGAGCGTTTTAATCATTTAGTGCACAGAAGCAAATATCTAAGGATGTGGCTATGAATGACCTTCTGTCTTAGTGTAGGTATCTTCTTGTGAACTCCCTACATCCCCGTAATACCTCAGAATATTCCACTTACATGCGAGGATTATATACAGTACTTGGTCTGTGTGTGCGATCGGTAAATAAATGGAAGAGAGGTAAAGTGTAGGTAGGACTAAAGCTGAAGAGAGCGGGCAGCTTTCTCGGTGTCACCACATGCATCCAGCCAGGTGCTTAAAATGTACATGTAAACCTATCCACAAGTCCAACAACATGCAGGTGCAGTGCTATATACGCTCTTTGTTACTGGTCATCAGGGGAGTAAGTTCCCATATCTTTCACCATGTCACATGCGTTTCGGCCTCTTTAAACTCCCGACATGTGAGACACTCCAGAAAGGGCGAGGCCACTCCACCAGGTCGGAGTCCAGATTTTCCTACTACATAGCTACAATTATTGTATAATACTTACAAACTAATCTACGTTACAATAAGGCAACTTTAATATACTAGCTAGCTATGCCCTGTAACTTGCTTCATTTCTTTGGTCTTCTCTGTTCTTCACTTCTTTCTTTCCTAATTGAGCTACTACAGGCTGTTTGTTGTGGATGTTATGTCTACTAAAGTCAAAACTTCCCATATTGTTAATTAGTGTGTATTGTGTCAGTCTGGAGCTATTCTGGCACTACAAGCTACGAGGAGGCCTATGAGCGATACCAACGGCTTCAGAACTACGCGAACATGAAAAATAAAATGGTGATTTTCCTGAAAAACAACTGTTCAAGAGAGAAAAAGTCAATGGAAAAATCAGCGCTGGCTTCGTCGACTTGCTCTGTGTGTTTTGGAGGCAGAATAGTCACAACGGATGGGGTGTAATTATCGACTCACGCATATTGCTAGCCCGTGTCAGCGAAGCTACTAGCGGGAGACCACAGGTAAACGCATATTCATTTGCCCGTCCCATCAATTAGCGGTGTAGAGTCTATACTTAGCCACGAGAAAATAGAATGATCTTTTTAGACAGTGTAGCTACAGCTTTTATAGAGATAGTGACACCTCAAGGGGTAATGGATACAACAATGTAGAAACAAAGACTGACAACTACGAGACCAGTACAAGACAATGGTGACAGTGGGAACATAACCATAACAGTCATTCTACATCTCCCCTTGTTGCGGTTAGTCCGTGAGTGTTTGGTGTCCGAAGTCAAATATCTCTGGTCGATTGATTGGCGCTCCAGTTCTTGATCGAGTCAAAATCGGTTCACGAATTGGTTCAGGTCCAACAGTTACTGGAGCGGTGGGCTCCTCTGTCGGTTCTTGGTTAGACTCAGCGTTTGGTATATACTTGTTCCATTTGTCTGCTGGTCAACCTTCTCTTTTTTGGGTCGATATTTAAATGTCGACAATTATGTCGGATTCTTCCAGATGGTGTTTCAACCAGATGTGAGAGTGGTGCTGCAGCCGGCTGGACAATGGACCCCTTAATGGGCTCCCTTTCTGATGTTATCCATACATCGGAATCCGTTGACAGCTGAGGTTGGCTGCGAACTCTGTATCTCTGATCGTAGTTCTCCTTTTGAAGGCAAGGTCTAGTTGTCGAAATTCCTCCACATAGCTCCACTCTGGGACCAACTGGGTAGGAGGGACTGGAACGTTTGTACGTAGTCGTCTCCCCATCAACAGTTCAGCAGGCAAGAGGATACACCATGGGAATGGGGTTCAACGATACTTCATCTTCAGCGTCCCTCAGTAGTGCTTTGACCGTTTGAACTGTGCGTTCAGCTAGTCCATTGCTCTGGGGATAAAAAGGACTGCTGGTCACATGTTGGAAGTCATAGGTCTTGACAAACTGGCTAAATGAGGTAAATTGCGGTCCATTATCACTGAAAACAATTTTTGCCATCCCAAATTACGAAAAACATGATTTCAGAGTCTCCACAACCGTGAGTGATGTTGTGCTGTTGAGTTTGTACACTTCGGGGGTACCATGAAAATAATTGACCACTACCAGATTCCCTTTTGATGGAACAAATCTACCCCAATTTTCTGCCAGGGATACTGTGGCAACACGCTGGAAATCATTGGTTCTCTTCTAGGAACAAACTTTCTGGCACAAACCGAGCAATCTTTGACTGTGTTCTCGATTTCACGTGAAATCCCTGGCCACAACACAGATATCTTTGCTCGGAGTCTCATCGACTGTCGAGGGTTTCCCGTTGAAGAGATTTGGGAACCACAATTCGACTTCCAAAGAGCCCAGCCCATCCTGACAAACACCTAGATGGCTTCGGGCTTTCCAGTATTGGCTGAGTTCACCACTAATTTTTTTCTTTTCATCTGGCCACCCCTCCCTGCAGTATCTCGCGCACTTGTGCACATACTGGATCTGATTCTTGGGCTTTTTGATACTGCTGAAGTCTTCCTCCAGTTACAGGTAAATTGCATATGCTGACATCCATCATGTAATCGGCTTCCTCCTGCAGCCCAACATCATTTGCGATTGTGGCAATAGGTGCTCGGGAGAGGGTATCTGCAACATATAATTCTTTTCCTGGAATGTGGGCTATAGTGTAGTCAAATCGAGCTAAGTGGAGGCGAAACCGGAGGATTCTAGGTGGCAGAGAGTCGAGATTCTTTGTGCCCAGCAGGGAGACTAGTGGCTTGTGATCTGAAAATTTCTTTCCCAAGATGTATGTTGAGAATCTTTTGCAGGCCCATGTCACAGCAAGGGCCTCTTTCTCAATTTGCGCATAACACATTTCAGTTGCAAACATAGATCTTGAGGCGTGTTCAATGGGCCTCCAGCTGGAATCATTCTGCTTCTGCATGAGAACAGCTCCCATTCCATAGGACGATGCATCGGCACTAACTTTAGTTGGAGCCTCTGGGTCGTATAGTGCTAAGACCGTTGGAACTTGTTAGCTCCTCCTTCACTCTGGAAAAAGCTTCTGCTTGACATGGCCCCCACATCCATGTAGATTTTTTGCTCAGTAGCTAGTTCTCGGGGAAGTTTTGTTAGCTGTGCCAAATTTTGGGAGAATTTTCCTAGTTGATTCGTCATTCCCAAAAAACGGTGAAGATCTGAGACATTCTTTGGAGCCACCATTTCTAAAATTGCTGCTATTTTGTCTGGATCAGCAGTGATGCCGTCTCCATTGACTATGTGGCCCAGAAATTTCACACTTTTCATTGCATTCACATTTTTCCGGGTTAAGTGTGATGCCAGTTGATTGAATTTTTTGAAGTGCCGTAGTTAGCTAACCGATGGTGGTGCTCATCTTCGTCCCGTCCAAAAACTAGTATATACATCATCCAAGAGACATAGAACACTTTCGAGTCCAAGTACTATGGCACTCATTCGTTTTTGGAATTGCTCAGGAGCACTGGATATACCAAATGGCATCTTCAGGAACTGGTACCGGCCAAAAGGTGTAATGAAAGTTGTCAGATGCTGTGACTTCTTCGCCAAAGGTATTTGCCAAAATTCACTATTGGCATCCAATTTGCTGAAGATTCTGGCCCCGGATAGCTGAGCCAAGGTTTCATCAACCTTGGGAAGAGGATGAATCTCCACAGTTGCGTTTAGTTGTTGTTGTTGTTCTCCTATGGCCTCTTGCTGCCGAGTTTTCTTTTTGGCTTTCTCGAGAGTGAGTTCGGCGTCGAGTTGGAGACTCCTCGAAAGTGCGGCGTCGCGGATACCAACGACGAGTCGATCGCGAATCATTTCGTCTCCCATTTCTCCATAGTTGCAATATTCTGCCAGCAGTTTTCGGCAGTTTCCCCCTCGTTCTGGTTTCGTTGGTTAAATCTGGCTCTTTCGAAGATCACGTTTCGCCGCACCATAAAAATTTGTCCACAACGGTTTTGTATCGTTTCCTTTCCTCCGCGGTGATGCCTGTTGAAGACAGAACGGATTCCGCTTCCTCTCCAATGCAGTAGAGCAGTGTGTTCACTTGCTGAACGTCGTCGGCATCCGACAGACCTGATGCAATGTGAAATTGTTCATAGCGTCTTCGCCATCGTGGGCAGTCGTCCGGAGTCCTGAAGTTGAACGGGTCCGGAGGTTTCAGCTGGAGCTGGGCCATCGTAGTAGCATCCCACTCCTGACACCATGTAGAGTCTCGAGAAAATTAGACAGTGTACAGCTTACTTATATAGAGATAGTGACACCTCAAGGGGGTAGTGGATACAACAATGTAGAACCAAACACTGACGAATACGAGACCAGTACAACACAATGGTGACAGTGGGGACGTAACCATAACTGTCATTCTACAAGCGGTACCACGCATGCGTAGTGCCGAGCAAAGTAAGGAAGTCCAGAACGTGCGTCGGTGACATGATCTGTTCACATGACATCCGTTACGCCCATGCACTGTTTTTTGCAGCTATGATGACGGTATACCGAAGCAGGGGGACAACTAAAGGCTCGCTACCTGTCACAGTAATAGTCCTTGCAATTATATCATGCAATGCAGCAGAAGGTGAGCTACAGCTACCTAAACTGGCCACTAACATAAATTCTGTAGATTCAAGTTGTTCACACAAGTATACACAGCATCTGAATAAGTTTCTCAACTGTAGTCCTTATATCCTTCGTGTAATGAAGGTAGAATGTACAGTGGAGGTTCCTGTCAATGCTACCGACATCACTATTGGTTGGTTCATGGACTGCCAGCAGTTGAGCAATGACTCTCACGTCACCATCGAGCCTCAAGTCCAAGTGACAGCACAAGTTCGCAGAATTACGTCTCAATTGACAATCAATGGGATAACTGATGATTATGCTGGCAAATACACATGTAACATGCTGGGAAACGAGGAGTACGTACCAGGTGATCAGTTGGAGTTAGGAGACTCGGATGAACTTGAGTTAATGCGTAGTCTAGGAGCATGTATAGATGGAGATCTCTTCCCTAATTCTCTGCAAGCTCCAGAGAAATGTGCAGTAATTACAGCGGACAACCCTGTCCCCATGTATCTTGTCTGTGAAGATCCACCTGCAAACCCAACATCAACCTCAACATTTGTTCTCTCACTCTCCTCCTCTTCTGTTATACTATCTTCAATACACCAAATCATTGTGTATAACCCTACAGTATTGCTTTCACCATCACCCACTACATCTCAACCAACCTCCACAGATCCTCAGGACAACAATATTGAATTTACTTCCCCTGATTCTCTGAACACTGTCTCACTCTCCCTCATAGCAGTGAGCTCTCTGCTGACCATTATTATACTACTGCTGTCTTCATTTGTGCTGGTAAAGTGGTGTAAGGGACAGAAACAGAATGGAACTGTGAACATGTGCTGTAAGTTCAGATGGGCATGATATGATAGCTAAACAAACAATATTATGTCAAAAACAATGTTAGTCATGCCACTGTGTCAACATCTTTTGTTGCTCACTCCACAATTCTTAGTAGTAGCTAATTGCATGCCACATATATAGCTACTTCACCCACTTTCAATCTCATCATAATTATAGTCAATATCATCCAAATTGATTGAATAGTCATTACCTATACAAAATGCAGTTCAGGCACCAGCACTAACAGCAGAGGAGCCGTTCTATGACAGTGTGAAGGATAGGCCAGAAGCCAACAGCAGTATACCAAGCTCTGCAGTACCAAGCCAATCAAATCCGGCCTATGGAATCAGTATGTTTTGTGCACATTCCACAAATACTTATAAAATACTAGCCTAAACCCCAGAGATATATATGGTTCCCCACTCATGAAATCATCCTCATTACTTTGATGTTAGTCTGGGAAGAATCAAATAAACAATTGTGGTATTAGTACTTTAAACATTGCTGTTGGTGTTTGTGTTTTTGATTAAGTGAAACAGGGTAGGAAATTCTCACCTGCTTGACTACATGATTGTTCTACCTTTCATATTACAGGGGCTGAAGCAGGTGACAATGATAATATATTTCAAATGAGGATCAATTCTGGATATGGTGTTATGGGACACATTATCAGTTCTACTCAGCTATCAACGGACTCTGTTGTACCTGAGAACCTAAGCAGTAGTAAGTAAATTCCTAATTAGGAAAATACCAAGATGCCCTATTATTACAAGTGGAAAAACCATTTCAAGGGCGATGTAGGGATGGCAGTTCATGAAAAACGAGGGAAACAAAGGGACTAGGGAAGTCAATAAGCCCATCCATACATGTTTGTCGACTACCTTGTTTTGTATATTTTGGGACAGTATAACAAAGGGAAAAAAACTTTGTAGCTACTTGGACAAAGATGTAGGGATTGGGTTATTATGATTAACCTCCCTAGTGTCTTGTTTCCCTAGTTTTTCATGAACTGCAATCCCTATATACATCCTGTTCATTTCAAATAAATGATTTTTAATTTTCCCCTTGTTTTACCAATTTTTACCAATCTTTACGAATATCCATAGCTACAGCAGAGTAGCCAAGAGGGCAGGGGTGCCATTCTGTCTAGCAACAAAGTACAGTCTACCCAGCTGCACCTACAAGAATTCTGTTCACAGCTGGGGACACTAATGCTATGTATATTTTATAGCGACAGCTGCGTTCGTGGAGATGTCGACGTACAGCACGGGGCAAGCCCGGGGAATATGATCCTGCCGCTGTAGGGGTTGCTACATACCATGCATGCCGCTGTGGCTGGAAAAATCTTCGGCTGAGCTGCAACAGCATCCCTTTCGCAGACCAGTGCGCGTGCGCAATATGGCAGCCTAGACTACGCCTTCTGGCTTCAACGTGCTGAGTTAGAAGTATAAATTGCGCCGTTAGCTGTGTATAGCTATACGATTCTGGTAGCTTTTGTTTGCTGGAAAACAGGTATCCCTTGCGAAAAGGATCGTACTCCGTCGAATGTGTTACCGATTGGCGTGAGTTTTATGCTCCTTACCCTCACCAGTAAAGCTGTAGCTAGGTCAGTTTATGACGACAAATGTTAAATCGCGTGTGTGCAAATTCTCGTGCGATGATTACAGGGTACGCTGTGGACAGCTGGGCATAATGTATTGGTAGAGAAAGAACCGCAAGGAAAGAAGGAAGGCCCTGTATCTGGTACACCGACGCTCTGATACTGAGCAAGCAGCAGATTAACAACCAAAGGGAAATGGCAGTTCCTACGTTGGATTTGCATCAGATGGTAGCTAGCTACTGGGATTAAACTAAGAGCGCAACGTAGTAGCATGTGTGTACAAGTCATCGTATTGGAAATGATTGCAGCTAGATAGGTCAATCCTGGCCTGCATCAGGAGAGAAAGCTCACAATGGTTCTGTCTTTGCTCTTACTAATAAAAGCACTAAAGTGCAAACCCTCGGCGAACTGCGCATGTGCGGTACCGCTAATTGATGGGCTGGGCTTTTTATGCCTTTACTCGTGGTATCCCGCTAGTAGCTCGCGGAGAGTCTGGCACGGGCTAGCTACAGGTAGTAACTAGCATGCGGGAGTCGATAGATGCCCTTCGTTGTGACTTCTTGTGCCTTCAAGACACACAGAGCGAACGGACGCGGTCGGGGTAAGCCTGTGCTAATTTACATATTGGCTTGTTGACTTGGTTTTCACGCCATAACTTTAGAACACAGTAGTTTTACGAATTGAAAATCAACCCAGTGTAGCACTGAACCCGATCATATCGCTATTTACCTGATTTCGTGCGCACGGTGGCAGAAAACGTGGTACCAGACAGACAGACAGACAGACAGACACACTTACGGGACAACTACCGTAACCCTCGCTGCGCATGCGCGCCGAGGGTTAATAATATCCCTTTATGTGTGGGTGCAGCTGCTTTATGAAAAGCACTAAAGTGCAAAACCCTCGGCGAACTGCGGTACCGCTAAATTGAGTGTTTACTCGTGGTCTCCACGCTAGCTCGCGGAGAGTCTGACACAGGCTAGTAGCTACACTAGTAGATAGCATGCGGGAGTCGATACATGCCATTAGTTGTGACTACTTGAGCCTCCAAGGTACACAAAGCGAGCAGATTTAGATTAAGCCCAGGACAATAAGCACATTAGCCTTTTCGCTTGTTTTCACTGCACATCTCTCGAACGCAGTTGTTTCAGGAAAATCGCCTAACAATTTTTCAGGCTCGCGTAGCTCTGAAGACGTTGGTATCGCTCACGGGCTGCCTCGTGGCCTGTAGTGCGAGGATAGCTGCTGACAGGCAGGCAGACACACGCACAGAACGACTACCGTAACCCCCGCCGCGTATGAGCTCCGAGGGTTAATAAAGTGATGTGTGTAGTCCACCCACTGAGGGAGTCGATACACGCCATTCGTTGTTACTTCTTGTGCCTCCAAGGTACTTACACAGAGCGAGCGGATCAGGTCGAGGTAAGCCAGCGCGATTATGCATATTGGGCTTTTTCGCTTGTTTTCACGGCATATTAGCTATATCTCTCGAACGCAGTCGTTTCAAGACAATCGCCTTTTTATCAGGCTCGCGTAGTTCTGTATCCGCTGGTATCGCTAATAGACCGCCTCGTACCAGAATAAGCGTCGACACAGTACTGTAACCCTCGCTGCGCATGCGCGCCGAGGATTCTCGGCGGCGTTGTATATACCACACTATGTGTATGCAATGTTTGTCACAGAGCGTGTGACTCTAGGCCAATTAACATGTTTAGAAGACCCAGACTGGCTTTATACAGCAGGCCTGAAATCAGTGACTAAAACCGAGGAACATGAATATCAGGGAACGACAGAAACCATCATCGTCTCATCAAATCACAAGCAACCATGATCACGCGGAAATCATATAATTAGCTCCAGGACTGAGAATATCACCGTCACGAATGAATGGCTCGAGTATCAGAAGTATCCTGAAAAGTCGGAGATACTAGTTAGACCTGGGAACAAGGGCTGTTAGCTAATGCGTGCGTGTGCGCGCGTGCTCTGAAGGGCTGAAGGAAAATAGGCTCTGTAAAATGTGTGCGAGGCTAGCGTTAATCTGCGCTAACCCAGAACTTTGCTATGAGTTGGCATCCATTATAAGGGGTAGCTGTCCACAGGACAACGACGAATGAAGCCACACTGAGCTCAGTGTCTACGCATGCTCGATGCATACGCATGAACGCGCGCACCAGTGTAGGCGCGGAGGGATCGGTAAAATTACCTGCGGTTGGTGCAGTTGGAATAGCTACCCGCTCAGCTGGCTATACTTATCGTTTAGATTTATCTTTCGCTAAAACTAGCGTTTAGGTTTCGCTGCACTCTACACTCGTCTTCCATTGATGGCATGCCTCCGCAGTGCACAAACAGCAACAAAATCCGGTGGAGGTGAGCCAATACTAAATAGCATATTGGCTTGTTAGCTTTGTTTTCACGCCATAACTGTCGAACGATTTGCTTTTACGAAAATGGGCAAATTTAAAATCAAGCCGGTGTAGAACCTTGAACCTTGTCTCGTTGCGCGTGGTGGCAGAAAACGTAGTAACCGACAGACAGACAGACACACTTACGGACCGAGAACAGTCAAAGGTTCAAAGGTTCAAAGGTTCAAAGGTTATTATTGCATACGCCAGTAAAGGCAGCACAACACACAAAAAAAATAAATAGGACAGAAATAAAACTAGGCTAGGAACCACGACTGTTTTGAGATAGAAGTAATTTGTGAACTTGATTAGCAACCAGTAAAATGTCTCTTGTTGATGCTGATGTTAACAATGTAATGATGTCCTCTTCCCTTAGTTGTAGATGGATTTCTAGTAGATGTGGGAGCAGGTGGGTATTGCTTTCCCATTCACAGACTGGGCACACCGAAATGTTGCCTACTTTGGGCCATGTTATCGCTTTGTACAAGGATTGCAACCTAACAGTTCCATGAACTCCCTCATCAAGCATTGCATCCCATAACTTTAACCAACTTACTTCATTTGCAATTCGGGTTGCAATTCTAGTGCTATCTCTTTCGTGTCCCTTCTCCAAGGTTATTTGCCAGTCTTGTTTCATGATTTCGTTGGAAAGGGCTTTTCTTTCACCATCAAATTCTCCAGAGAGCACTTTCTCTGTGTATGAGTCCAGTCCAGTGTGCTCCTCTAGGAATTTACACTCGTGTATGAGGGAGAGGTGCAGTGGATCAGAGGAATTGTAAAACTTTGATGCAATTGATTCTGTAGAGTCCATTAACTTCAAACGGAGAATAAAGTTAAGCTTCCTTGATAAGATTCTTGCAGCAACTGAGGGCCACCGCAGAGCAATTCTGGAGGAATAAGTAGAGTGATATGGAGTGAGCTTGAGAATTCTTCTCCCAATCTCTCCTTGGAAAGATTCCAGCTGGCAGATAAGGGTTGAGGTTAGTTGCCAGTTTTCACAGCCGTACAATAGTATGGGTACAACACATACCTCAAAGAGAGACCTTCCACTTAGCGGGTTAAGATTTCCTTCAAATACCTGTGAGCGATGCATAAAGAAGGCTCTTCTAGATTTTGCAATAGCTTCATCAATGGCTTTCTTTGCAGACAGGTCCCATGACAACCAATATCCTAAGCACTTCACTTCCTTGCTAGCAAAAATATCTTGTCCATCGATATTTGTCATCATTGAGTTGGAGCATTGTTGAGTGTGGCTACCTGAGGTAAGC